AAGGAAATCAGAGAATAAGTTAATACCAATACTTCACCCCTTCCTAGCCTCACTATCAGTGGAAATCTCCCAACATGTATAGGTTCAGTGAAGATGTAACTGTAATGGAAAATGAGATGTTTGTGAAGAAAAGCACAAATGAGTACTCAATGCTCCTTGTGGTTTTTTTACATGCCTGAAATATTAAAATTGCTCACCCTAAGGAAATCAGAGAATAAGTTAATACCAATACTTCACCCCTTCCTAGCCTCACTATCAGTGGAAATCTCCCAACATGTATAGGTTCAGTGAAGATGTAACTGTAATGGAAAATGAGATGTTTGTGAAGAAAAGCACAAATGAGTACTCAATGCTCCTTGTGGTTTTTTTACATGCCTGAAATATTAAAATTGCTCACCCTAGCAGAGTTTTGATGAACAGGGAGCAGCTAAAGGCCTCACTATTTCATACAGAGAACATTACATGTATTTAATTTCTGCAGCTTTATTGTTTTGTGAGATCTTAGAACAGTGGGTTAGACTAGAAATTAAAAGCTGTTAGAAGCCAGAGGTTGCAGCTTCCCAGAGAGAACAGGAAACTGTTATGTAACAGGAAAAGGAAGACATTATCTTCTGTACAGTGGAGGCAAAATTCACACCAAGTTGCTTGGATTATATCCATCCCACAATATCTCTGCACATTAGGAATGAGTCATCTAAGGGTTAATGTGAAATCATTACAGTGAAATGATGTGCTGTGTCCTGAGAGTATAACAGTAAGGCATGGCCACACTGCCATTCTGCCTAAACCATCTGAAATTCAAATGCATGATGAGAACATGTGCTTTTACTAGATTTTGCCTATTTTTTTTGGTAGCAGAGCATTTTCTTCTTAATTCCAATGCAAATTAGCCAGTGGACACCTGCAGCACTCTCATATACATAAAGTGGACTTGGATAAGGAATTTGGAGCCATTACTTTTCCTTTTCAGTCTGCCACAGTAGTTCCAAACAGTTTGGCAATGAAATGTGACACAAGGCTATGCTTAAGTATCCTCCATCTTGGTCTGAAGTGTCCAACAAGGTGAAGACCATTGCTCTGGCTTTGCAGTGTTTGATTCAATGCTATGATCTTCTCTCAGCTCAGACTCGTGTTTTGATTCTTGGTCTTTGCAGGCTGCCGGTGGAATCTGTACAGCAGACATGACATCTCTTGAGGAGGTATTTATTTCTTCTCCAGCAATAGAGTCTTCTTGGTTTGAATTATTGGATCTTTCAGATAAGCCAATATAGTCATGGTCAACAACTACTGGACCTTGTAGACAGTAATGGTTGTCTGTAAAAGGAAAGTAGCCATTAAATCAGATCCTTCGAAAGCCATAGTTGAAATGTTAGTGAGGTGCTAACACTGTTCATAACAATTGCCACAAGAGAATAAGAATGTTTGAGTGACAGCAGAATGAAAATGTGAATTTCCTAATTTTCCTGAGCATCAAATGTTTGACTGCCTGTCATTACATCTGCAAAATAATGCTTGCAATGTCCCACATTGAGAGTTCTTCTTAGCTAGGTCGATGACTGGCTTAATGTCTGTCACGGTCACCTAATGAGCTCATACCTTAAATGAATGGACATGCAGATTCCTTCATTGGTGCTGCACACTGAGAAATGTGATTTCTTCAGGCTCTTGCTGAGAAATCTTAATGCAACACAGCAGGCCTCTTTAAGCCATAAAAAGTCGAAAAAAAGTAAATAAAGTAGCTAAAAAACCAAAAGAAATAAAAAGAAACCAAACTCTATCCCAGATAAAATCAAGACAGTCACTTCCTGGAAAAGGGAAGAAACTATGTTTATGTACTGCTTCTGCAATATTCAGTGGTAAACTGAATATTAGGCTCCAATACTACAAAGTCAACTACTTTTAACTTTCTATACAGTGACACAATTTTCTGAACTTATATAGGTAATAGCCGTAGGCAATCTGCATGCTTGATATGCATGCAACTTCCTCCTCATGCACCAGCAATTTAATGAGGAACTAGAGGGCACAGAGTGATTGTCCAACAGCAAAAGCAGTGGCCTGGAGATGTGACATGAAATCGGTATCTTGGTTATAAAATCGGTAACTGACAACTGGCATAAATATCAGCTTCTTACATGAGATTCCAGAATTAGTTTCAGCTTAGTAAATCCCTCAGCTTTAAGAGATGATGGAAAAAATTATCACTTCAATGTAGTTAATGCATTTTTGAGATTCAAAGCTTAACCACACATGCCAATAGGGTGGGAATTCTTCTGCTTTTCAAGAGCCCTGAAGCAAAAAGAAGCTTGTTCTGTGACAGAAGTCTTCTAAACACTGGGAATTTATTTTCCTCAAAATGCCTGTGGTGACTCAAAGACTGCATCAATAGAAAAGAAACAGCTGGCACCTAACATAGCACCAGTGCAAAAGAACACACTACATGTCTCAGAGCAAGAGCAGCAGTTGATTACCCAAATCTTTGGGAATTTCTGGCCATCCTACTGCAGAGCATGACAAATTTATTTGCTCTGGTAAGAGAAACATATTTTCTTCTTCAGTAGCACAATTTAAACCAAACTATTAAAAAATCAGTTTTCTGATGTAGTCTTTCTATTTTGAGGCTTTAGAAGATGATATTGTAAGAAAAAAAAAAGTCCAAGCATGTACCATCTGCACTAGTCAAACTAAGCAAAAAAAAAAAAAAGTTTCCATTGCACAAGCAAAATAAATGTGAACCCTGTCTACATCAAAAGAGAAACACAGTCAGAAAACCTCTTTGAATACTCTTTAGCCTGCTTATACTTCTAGCATGTTTTCATCAGCCAGCTCAAATAGGGCCAAACCAGACATTAGAAGCAACTTCAACAGGGGCTACTTCAAAATGACTGTAAACATGATTCATTAGCTCTGTTCCATGCTCTGCACAGGTTTGATGTCACTCATACTCACTGTTCTCCTTACTGAAATCTACAATTATTATTATGTAGTGTTAATTTAATTTCCACTGGTTAAATGAATGATACTTGTTCATTCTGACAACCTAACACTAAGACATGACAGAGAAGTTAAAAAAACAAAACTAAAAAGCCTCAACTTTTTTACATGTATATAAAATATAAATAAAAATTTAAAAATACACATATACACCTTTTTCACTGGACTCCCTTATGTATGGCTTGAGGTGAGACATCTTGATGGGTCTTTTCAACCTGGATCCTGTGGCATCTCTTAATATTGCACAACCATTATCTGTGATATAATCTATAATACAAGGACCAACCCATTCCGACTGGAAATGACCATCTTTCCACCAGTTTTTTCTCTGCCTGAGCACTTCATGACCAACTTTAAGTTGAATTGTATTTAATTGTTTTGGCTTCCTTTTGGCTGTGATTTTGTTTCTGATCTTTTCTTCATCTGAAGTGTTTTTCTCCACCTGCAGGAAGATACATATGAATCACATTTTCTTTTTTCCAAGAGTAATTATGCATTTTCCTAGCACTGGTTAACAGTGTAGAAGCATAACATTGAGTGGGTTTGGATGTGTATAAATCATTATTATGTGGGGTTGAAGAGTTATGAAGAAATTGATTTTATCTTCATAAATCAACAGTCTATAGGCAGTAGCTTTCAGCTTCTTTAGATACAAGCCCTCTAAGTCAGAAACAGTAAACTCTTGACACTACATCTCTTAAGGTTACTCCTTGCAACTATATCTGAGATTTATTACACTGAAATCCAGGGATCACAGGGGAAAGATAACAAACTAAAAACCACCACACAAAACCCCACATTGTTTTAACAGGTTAGTTATACTGTGTGCTTCAAGCCTTTCCACTTTTTTTATCTTCAGTCTTCTTACCTAGTAAAGTTTGAATACATAATAACATTTACCTGGCAATCTGAGGTTTTCTCTTCTTCCAGTGCTTGACTCATGTTTTTGGTTGCTTCAAGTATTTCAGCAAATATACTGTATCCCCCTTCCGCACATAGATTCATTGGCTCAACAACATGTGGGCTACGATTAAACATCTGGAAATACGGTGTGGCTTGATCTGGCTCCTATTTAAATGTGAACCAAAAGCAAGGAAATTTACCACACAGCTTTGCAGGCATTTTGAGACACTTCAGTCAAAATAGGAAGAACCTTCACATACCAAATTTGTCAAATTGAAAGCATAGGCAATAGCAGACAAATGTTCATCCCAATCATTTGCATGGTCAATGCAGTACTTGTTAAGGAAAGCTTTGATTGTCTTGGACATTCTTTCATTTATATCATCTGTCTGAGGATAAGACAACACAATTTGTTTCATTCCAAACAGTGCAAACAGTTCTTCATTTATCTTCAAAAGAAAAAGAACACAATTAGTGAACATTTCTCCTCTTCTGTTTCCCATTTCAAGTAAATAAAATCAGTTTTCTATCCCTTTTGCTGGTATGATGGTGACTAAAAGTCACACATACTGGCATCAAACACTCCAAGGTTGTGAATGGGAGCTAAAGGAGTAAGTATGGCTTAGGAGCCAGTAATTGATGGTTCCTAGCCATATTTCTGTCTCTAACTCAATTTGTCATTTCCTCCTTATCCCAGTCTGATGATTTTATCATCTCTGAGAGGATCAAAGTGTGATAAGTTCTTCACAATCACTATAGGCCAATGTCAAAACCACCCTTAGCTATTAGCTAGACTGGACAATAGGGATGAATGAAATACAACACAGCAGAGTGTGAAAACTTGTGCCAGTTCAAGTGAGTGACAAAACTTGCATTATGACTGACAGGAAATAATTTTGCTTTGCTCTTTATCCAAAGAGTAAAGCCTTGGGAAATGTTGCATAATGCTACAATTGCAAATAATTGGTTATATTCTGTTTGTGCTTGTTTTTAATTTGCTCAATTAAAAATACTGAAGTCTTCCTCAAAAATCATTTAAAATTCAAACACAATATAGGAGAAAATGTCTTTTTTCTTGGAGGAAAAAACCAAGATACACCAGCCATGTAAATATTTACCTGATAAACAAGCTCCTTCCCTTGATCAGTAGGCATTTTTTGAGGTGGTCCATACAAGAAAAATACATTTATGATTGCCTTAGCAATTTCAGCTGCTGAAGTGTCATGCAGTGGTAAGATAACAGTCCATCTTGTAAGCAGATCTGTCATAATTATGATGTATTTGTGACTTCTGTTAGTAACAGTGAAAGGTCCCATTAGGTCTATAGTGACTGCTGTCCATGGGTCCTCTGCTTTGATAGGGTGTAGTTTGGGCACTGTGGTTGTTGTGTTTTTTGCCTCTTGGCAGTGCCGGCAAGCATACACCTAGTGAAAACATCAGGGAAGATGTTATCAATAAAAAGTGATGGTAAAGGTTTAAGAAAATTATCACTGATCTCCACTATTCCTCTGTAAATTAGGTCATAGCAGACAATGTACCTAGTCAGAAATTTCTTACAATTTTTTACCCTTAGATTTTTCAGGCCCAGTATAAAACCAAAATAAACCCAAATAACAGCAAAGGCCGGGAAAGGGACATGTGCAGGAATTCATAGATCAGCCCTCTCCATCCCGAAAGCACTGTGTTCTTTCCAGTCCACAGTATACATTTTAAAATCCACTACCACCTGTGAAAATTAAAGGAAGTATGAAGCATGTGGGATCAAAAGAAAGTCCCAAACATTCCCCTTTTGGTTCAGCTATGTATGGTGTAGCTGAAAACCACCAGCATTATACATAATCTTCCACGCATAACATGGATCACCTTTATCAACAGGACAGAGCCCCTTTGTCCAATCTGAATTGAAAGCAAAGACTCATTTTCAGTTCATGTTACAGTTGCACATGAACCCAAAGTATTCAGGTAGTGCAGCAAGCTGATAGCAACAGTAATTTGGCCTTAAAGGACATTTAAATACAGTTTTCTCAAGGATCAAATTCTGCCAGGGAACAATGTCCATTATCTTTGGGTGAAGGAGAAGGAACTTTCCCAAGCAGTGATTTGTTTAACTACTTCCTGAACACACCTCATTGTAAGGCAGAGGCATCATTTTCATATTTTTATGTGCTAGCAGCTACACACACCCTCAGGATGATACACTGCATCCTAATGAAGATATGGAAGAGTCCTTGCAGGAGAAGCCACTCTCAAAGAGTAGATGTGCCTTGCACACTAAAAGGCAGTATGGCTCCTCACCACCTTGCAACGTACAGCGGTGTGCAAGCCACGTGGGCAGTAGCAAAACAGTAAAAAGGGAACTCCATGCACTGCCAAGACGACCATTTACAGTGTGCTGTAAGCTCACATTTCCTCATCACAAAATAGTATAGGTACTTGCTGTATAAAGGTCCTATGAGCACAAGTCTGATGAGGAAAGGCTGGGGCTGTTTAGCCTGGAGAAGAGGAGGCTCAGGGGAGACCTTACACTCACCCTCTACAACTCCCTGAAAGGAGGTTGCAGTCAGGTGAGAGTTGGTCTCTTCTCCCAGGCAACCAGCAGTGGGACAAGAGGGCACAGACTCAAGCTCTGCCAGGGCAGGTTTAGATTGGATATTAGTAAGAGACTTTTTTATGGAGAGAGTAATCAGGCATTGGAATGGGCTGCCCAGGGAGGTGGTGGATTCACTGTGCCTGGAGATTTTCAAGATGAGATTGGATGTGGCACTTAGTGCCATGGTCTAGTAACCACCGGAGGGCTGGACTTTATGATATATTCTATGATTCTATGAAAGTCATAGGATTACAAAGCATTTCTAACATAGTACATAAAAATAATATCCTGCAGCTATAAGACCATACCCACTGCTTGACATCATTTGTTACAGAGGTCCAGTAGTAATTAGACTCCACTAAAGTCAGCGTCCTTGTTATACCATGATGAGTGCCAGCAGCATTTTCATGGCATTTCTCAAGCACCTTTTTCTTCTCTTCATCTGAAACAACTACCATGCGCATTTGCTTTCCATCTTTTCCAACATAGAACAATTTATTTTCTGAAAGAAGAAAAGTACCAGCAAATTATATGCAAGTGCTTTTTCTTGGCATGCTTCTTGGGCAAGATTCCAAACAGAATTTGTTACAGTAACTTCAATTCACCTCGGCATAAATTCAGCTTTCTATTTACAAATACTTTAATTATTTCCTCCAAAAAGCCATTAGTTCACCTATTTTTTATTAATATGGACATGAGGAGTTACAAGGGCAAGCCATCCTGGCAAACAACTTTTCCACAGGAAGTCTGACTGAAATACAGGCTAAGGCCAGGGGTGGAAAGGGGAGGTAGGAGTGCTAAGAATTTGCTGTTTGAGTTGTTGTGTGCCTGCCAGCAACCTGACACCACGATTCTCAGCTTTAACTCATCCCTGCCTTCTCTCCACATAGACTTGGCAGGTTTGATGGGATTGAGAGAGCACAGCAGACTACAAAGGCTCATACACCTCCCCTGAGGGCTGCAATAAAACTGGCAAGGGCCCGGAGTCTCTAAGGCGATGATGGCAAAGTCATCCTTGCACTTCTGCCTAGTCATACACAGCATCCTCCAGACCAGTGGAGCATTCCTTATCCTCAGCTGCAGGTCTGAATTCCTCCTCTGTGATCCTCTGAATTATGGATTGCAATGGCTATATATTTCTGCAGTATGTAGAACAAGATTTGGCTTTCAGATAGATACATAAATCCCTCCTGGAATGGACTAAAGCAGATCTAGTTTCTATTTCCATACCCATCCTGTTATATATTAAACAGGGATATGCAGAGTATTTGTTTCATAGAGAATGTATATTCAAAAAATCCCAGAATGCTGCAGAGCAAGATGCCACTTCTTTTTCCTATCAGCAAATCTTCAGCTAAAAATCTATTTTCAGAGTAATTTGAGATAAAATTTTTACCTTTGAAAACAAATTTTTTGGCTGCTCTCCTGATTCCACTTCTTTCACTTGGTAATGTTGTGGGATGATATTCCCCTGTTCTCTTGTAGTATGCAATCTGTTTCAGGTGGAGTCCACGGTTTTTCCCACTGCGAACCATTGCCAACCTGAACAAAATGCACATAATTTATTAGATGGAGCAATTGTGAGAGGAGCAGGTCTTCAGTTTCCACTGATTTCTTTGTTGTTCAGAGGCATCTTGGCAATGTAGCATCTAAGACCATGTTACAACATCCACTGCAATGCTCTTGATATCCCCTTGCTATCAGCTTAAGCAATATGGAACACTGCTTGAAACACTAATTTTATTCTAAGGAGAGTTGTTTTTGTCAAACTGTATTTTAACATTTCCACACAATAGGGACTTCTATTATATTCATTGGATAGGGGCAGAAAGTGAGACCAGAGTGAGAGAAATTGCTCTTCTTAAACCTTTGAATAGCCCTCAAATTCAGGTGTGCTGGAGATTGGCTGTGTCCCAAGATCCACCCTAGTCGAAGAAAACCCACACAGACAACAGAAAAAGCAACTTCCAAGATAGAAACTGACAGAAATTTATATTGTTCATTAATTCATCTGACAATTAGATTCTGAAGTTCCAAACCAGCCTCTGCATGCAAGGTAACAATTGATTCCCTGACACAGGCGACTTCCCTGATCACATTAATAAGCTAAAATGTCGTTAGTAAAATGGGTCACTGATATAGGAAATGTTTGGATCTAGCAAGAACACCATAAAATAATTAGTTAATGAAAATCAGATATTCACAGGCAGGATAATTCATGCAGGCTCTACATGATTTCAGTGATTATTTTCTTCCAAATGTGTTCCACCAGCAATGAAGATGTAGATGAAACAGCAGTTTGATCCTGCTCTCATCCGCACCCGAGAGAGCAGGATCAGGCTTGGGGTCTGCCATGCCACAATTTCATAATGAATGCCAGTTATCCATGGCATCAAGCAAATTTCTTCCTTATGCTGCCAGTATCCCAGTTGAAGACTGTGACAACTCACAGCCTGGTAAAACCAGTAACTAGTTTGTCTGCCATACCTGCTAAGTGACATCTAATTACAGGGAAGTGACAGCATCCACTGCATCTGGAACACATGTTATCTCACTATGTGGTGATGCTATGTGAAAGACAAATGTGTAAGCCAAGAAGTCTATTTTTCAGTTTACAGATTCTCACACACCTTGATTGGTGGTGAGAAGGAGGTCACCCTGAAGAGTGATTATGCTGCTGTTATTTACTCTGTTCCTCCCAGAAGATAAAGTGCCACATGTTATTTATAAAATAACATATTCTACATGTGCAATTGGGCTAAGCACTGCTGTGTTATCAGTTCTGGCAGGAACTTCACATTCAAAATGTGACAAGACCTTTGCCCCACTGAATACTTCACTTTCTACAAACTTAAAACCCAGCCAAGTCTCTTGTCACACAACATTACTGTTTTAAAGTAAAGTTCTCATACCTGAGAGAACTAGCACAGATGCACACATGGCCTGTGAGGAAAGATGGCATTTCAGAACAGGGGAGGAGAAGAGCCAGAACACAGTACTGTTCTGACACAGTACTTTCCTGTAAATTTCTGTCTGATAGCACATGAAACCAATCCACTGAGTAGTAAATCGGATAACTAACAACAGAAAAGTGATTGGTGAGGCTACTGTGATAAAATTCAAGTTTCTGTTGTTTATAAGAAGTCAACCAGTATTGCTGACAGTAAAAGAGCACTAAAGGGCAATTAGAAAATCCCATCTGCCACTCAGGGCTCTCCTGAAGGCCAGCCCTGCATCTAAGTTACCCCTGCATGGTCTGAAGCCAAAACTATCCAGGTGTGACTTGCCACTTAACCATAGGGATGATGGACTGTTTTAGCTTGACACAGACTTTCACAGATGGCAAGAAAAGATGTTCCACAACAACCTTTACTCTTCCAGTACTTTTTAAACTCTTGCCTGAAGCAGTGAATATTCTCCACATAGTACAGAGTCACTGACTTTAACAAAATGAAATTGCACAGTACTAAGACATATCTGAGCAGGACTGCAGCCTCCACTTCAGCTCAACACAAACCTTATCCTCATGTCTGCAAGGGCAGTTTCTGCTAGAAGAGTTTGGAAGAGCTTAGGCAAGCCAATGAAGAAAGAATGCATTATGTAATAGCCATAATTTAGTAGGATTCTGATCCAGCAAAGTGTTAAGCACTTCAACACTCTGCTGGATTGCGATCTTACTGGACAACATTACATGAGCATCCCTCCTGGATATCCAGTTTCCTGTCTCCCTGCTGATCTTTCCCCGGTAACTAATTTACTTTGTTTGGACCAGTCTCAAAAAAACCAAACCAGACCAGCACAGGAATACCAAACCAAAACCAAAACAACACAGAAAATAACAAATTTAAAAATCCCTTGGCTTTATTATTTATTTAGATCATTCATATGCTACCTCTATCAATATTCATCATGCATCTGGTAGTCTAAAAATCAAAGATGCAAAATCAGTAATCGGTTTTTAATACCTTTGAAGATGGAAAAGAATACATCACTTTACAGTCAAGTGAAGTATTTTGGCAAAGAGAAGGAAACTTTCACCCAGCCAGGCTCTTTTTGCTTTCGCGTCTTAGCCAAAACAGTCACACCTGCTAACACTGGGCTCTTTTACCTTGAAACGCCCATTTTCTCCCCTGCACAATCACAGTGCTAGCCGCAGAACTGTCCCTTTAACCCAGCTTTCTTCCAATTTCCCTACCACTGCCGGCGATTCCTACCAAAAACAGGAGTTCCCTGTGGAGCCCGGAATATTGCTTTCCCAAACACCTGTACATCAGACGGTCACACTCGCCTACGTCCCCCCCGGGCAGCGCACGACGGAGCAGCGTTTGGCAGAGCCGCGAACCCCTCAGACACCTTCCAACCTGGGACCGCCCTACAGGCTGCGGGGCCCGGGCAGCACGGCGGGTGATGGCAGCAGG